CGGCGTGCCAGGCGACTTGCTCACCGACAATTGCGTGGGGCTTCTCTGCCCGCCGATCGGGATTTGCGGCAATTGCGGTAGCTGGCGAGGACTACGAGGCGATTTCGCATGTGTCGACTGTCCCGGACTGTTCGTAGCCATCTCTTACCAGGTTGGGGGATAACGGATATTCTTCTTCCTGCTCTTCCTTTTCTTCTCGATTACTTTCTTTCTTTCCTTTTTTTTCTTTTTTTTTTTTTTTTTTTGTTTCTTTTCTTTTAATCCAGCAAGAGAATGCTAGAGGAATCTCCGGCAGCCTCGTTATGCGAGCACGATGAAACGTCGGTTGACTCTTTGTTGTGCCGGATTGCCACGAGTTTCCTCCGAGCAACGCGCCAATCTTCCGGAGCGGATCGAATTCTCATCTCCAACCTATCCCTCCTCCTCCTCCCTCCACGGGTCTTCTCACGGTTTTCACGCACTGCTATTAGGGAATGACGCGACCAGTCGATGGAAGAGAGGCCTGGACGAGGGGATCCTTGGGAATTTTATCCATGGATGGACAGGATTAAAGATGAATCACTCTCACTTCAGGGCCGCCTGAAAACGATGAATCGTTGTAGAAGAAACGTATAAGAAAGGAATCGTTGTACTTGTTATTATGCGACGAAGAAATTGAAAGAAAGAAAAAAAAAATGTTTGATGTAAATGTAAAGGCGAAAGAGAAACGAGAATTCCAAATTGTGAATACCGTCACGGATAACGTTTCCTGTTATCAGACAAAATATCGCGAACATTTTTCCTTTTCGTGGAAATTAATCCACGACTAGTAATAACGCGATTCGTCTGATCGGGCGAAATAGAAAGAGTGTCGGTGAAAAGAAAAAGGGAGAAAAAAAAAAAAAACAATCTCTCCAAGGAATTTCATTTTCCTCCATCTACCGTGAAACAATTTTTCCATTTCTTTATCTCTTTTGGGAGAGGAAGACTTTGACTGTGAGAAAATTATATATTATTTCCTCCAACGGATGCAACAGTTTCGGCTGCGCGAACGCGAAATTATAATGATAAAATATAAATAACTTGGGATACAAACGAGTTCGAGTTTTCGCCTTCATTCTCGCGAATTAATTTTCGAGGCAACCAAAATCGATATTAATTGGCAACCGGTATACCATACTTCCGACATGCATCACGAAACCATCTCTCGAAGATACATATATATACATATATATATATACATATATACACATATATATATATATATAAAGTAGAACCCGAAACAAAATTACTATATCTAATTACCCTTTAATTAACCACAATCCAAAATTCTTACATCTCGCATCGTACACGTGTCGATAAACGATCCAACAATTTTTCAAACACCTACCTCTACCCTCACGAATAATCTCGTACGTTGATACGATTGCTCTACATTACATTACGCAAACACAGCCGAGAGAAACTCACCAATAGTTTCGATTTTCGGTTGGGAAGAATTAACCTGTTGATCGCGAGCAAGGTATCGTCACGCCGCTCTCACCGTGGCCACCGTTTCTCCACCCTTCTTTCTTCGTTCGATGCGGACGATTCGACGAACGAAATCGGATCTCGACGGGGGCCCCGCGACACGAGACAAGGCGACGACGAGGGGCACGAATGTGGATGAGGGAGAATACGCGGAACCGAACTCGACAGAGGTTGCCGCGTTACTGAGGGGTTGGAGCGTACAGACCTAGAGAGCGTCTCACCCCCCGCCACCGCGATTTCACCCTGCTCGACCTCCCACCCCTACGGTCCCCGGGGCTTTTCTTTCTCTTCGCACGTGTCTCTTTATCAATTCGATCCATTTCGCTTTTCCTGCGGGATTTCTGCGGGCCACCACCTCGTCCCGCATTCTCATCTCAGGGGAGGAAAATAAAATAACAGCGGACGCCTATAAATGACGCGCGTCGAAACACCCTTTTCCAGTCGATTCCTTCCGTATTCGAGTAATTATATAGATCGACGGTAGATCGGTAGATATCCCATATTCGCGACTACTGGACGATGCGATTCGTGAAAATTAGATAGATTGACACGAGTGCCGATCTATCGATAATGAAGATCGACGTAGATCAATGTTTACTTAATAACAGTTTGTGTTATTATCGAAGATTTTATCTATGAATTTTTCTATATTATACTCAATCCTTGTATTACCTCGGATTGAAGAATACCGTGGATCGTGTGTATTTATCGCTTATCGAATATCACTTTAATCCCCTTCGAAATTAATTTACACGGAACGCGAATCGGACGATCTCTGAATCTGTTAAACCTCAACATCGTATGATTCGAAGCTACCACGAACGTTGCTCTTCGAATTTGTGCACGAAATATTATTGGAGAGGGGGAGGGGGGAAATTTTATTCCATAATCGGATGCAAAGGAGCACTCGGCCCTCTCCAAGGGAAATTGGATTCCCGTGTGTAAGACCGCAGCCGGTCACTGGCGCGGCACAACGCTCCCTTTGGGGTAATCGATGTGTCCAACGACACGCTGCATAAACTCTGGCCGAGATTGCGCTCCGTGTTCGCACCGCAACGCGCGGTGATTGCGCGCGGTTCGTACACCCCCCTTCACCCTCCTCCTCCCCCTTCACCCACCCCGCTTCCGCGGTCAAACGCGTCCAACAGGTAAACGCCGAATCGGTCACGGATCAAAGTCGGAGATCAAAGTTGTAGGTGGATCGTCAAAGCGAGGAAAATTATTGCTTACTTGAAACGACGACTTTCTTTACTTTTTCTTTCTTTAATTTTCGAGAAAATTATCTAGAACAGATCTTTTGTTTCCTAAGTTTATTATTAGAGGAGGAGGATGGATATCGATCGCGTTACGATCGATGTTACGAATAGTCGTTTAGATTTCTCTTTTCGATGCGATTACGTGTTTTACAAGTTCTTTTTTTTATTATGTTGCGTTGAAAGTGTAGATATAGCGGTGTTTCGGTGTAAATCGAGTTGTAGAATAATTATGTCAAGAGTATATGTAAGAAGGTGGGCATTCCCCGAGGAATTTATGATTTAAAAAAGATTTTCAGATAAGTATTGGAATGAAACGTGAAACGTTTCTGTTATTTACGGGGTCGTCGTTACGAGGGAGTAAGGGAGCGGCGAAGAAATGAAATGAATTCGTACGTGTAACGCGAAAATCGAAACTCCCGCCTTCGAATTATCGATTGCGCTCGTGAAAACGCGTGCCTTGCCAAAGGGGAACGCTCAATTATCGTTTCAAACTTCGTCTCTAATATAATGATCTGACAATTATAATAATGATAATCCTCGAACAAATATAAAATTTCATCCAATTATCGCGCTCGTTTCTATTTAGCAAATTTTATCTTCGATTATAATATCGATAACGATACATGCAGTAAAGTTAGTGTTTACGACCTTATCTATTGATTCGATGCCTGAATAAATGACACGTTGAAACTTTTCATATTAAATTCAATGAAAAGAGTTGATTCGATCGGTAATTGAGCGACATCGGAAAAATTTCTTCGAGTTCTGTGAATTATCGTTCTTTGAATTCTAATATATTTTTTTTTTCTTTTTTTGTTTTTCCTTGTTGTTGTTCTTTCTTTTCAAACGTCATACGATAATAAACTCGATGTATATAACTCGATAAAAAAGATTCATACGTAGTAAAAATAATTCTGACGTAAGTGGGAACAGTGCACTATGCCGTCGTTGAAAACTTTTCGCATAGAATTTGATAGACCAACGGCTACGTATCTTAGTGGCGAAATTGTCAGTGGAAATATTATTGTGGACGTAATAAGAGAGAAAGAAATTAGAGGTGAGTCTTTTTGAATTTTAAGCATTTTCAATTACGAATTAAACGTCAGATTAGAATACTTGATGGAAACTATAAATATTGATTGCGAAATATTTGGATGAGCAAGTAAATAATTCATTAAATAGTTGGATAAATAATATATTGATCGAATATCTGATGAATCTGGTGATTTTTGATCGATAAAATGATCAGGGGACCAAAAATTTAATTGTTTTTCGATTATTTTTGACAAACATTAAAAATAAACGGTAAAGAAAATTATTTGATAAAAATAACGTGATATTAAAAAAATCACATTAATTAAAATTGATTTATATTCATAAAGATATTCGAATATTGCTACTTTGCAAATATAAGTGCTAATATTTATAGATGACAATATATTGACAATTTCATGAAAATTTAATAAAGAGTGTTAAGATTAGATTAAGATCATATTGAGATATTATTAAAATTATATTATTTATATCGCATAAGAATCGCAAGCATTTCTTATTTTTATTTCTTCTTGCCGATTTTTGATTGTCAAACGGAATGAATAACAATATTGAAAAAATATTCGAAAACTATTGTTTCATATTTTTCACAAGATTGTCAAATTTTTGAGGATATTTATTTTTCCTATTAAAATATATACACGCACTTTATATAATAGAGAATTATATATATTGTATTTCATGTAATCTTAAAAAGTAAGTTAATAAGTAGTAAGTTATGAAAATATGAGAATGAAATATTAGTCAGTAAAATTTTGTTTGAAATTTTTTCCAGAGCAAATATAGTTAAAGAGAGTAAATAGTGAAACAAGAATAGAGATAAGATAAAATTACAATCAACGCCATCTTTAGAGTGTCGGAAATGAAACATAAAGGATCAGAGTTAACTATTAACGCCATCTCTTGAGTATATTGAAAAAAGTATTTTATATTATTTATATTATCACTTAAGAGATGGCGCAAACAATCAATTCTTATCTTATCTCTATCCTGCTCTTATTATTTTCTGTCCTTTCTATATGTGTTTCATTTGCGGCACTCTGGAGATGGCGCTGATTGCAATAATTTTATCCAATCTCTATCCTTTTCCTTCTTATTTACTCTCCTTGTCTATTCTTTTTTGGCGCGATATAACGAGACAAGAAATTAAACTTTCATCATTTTTATATCAAAACTAGAATATGTCTTACCTTTAATATAAAAACATATATTTACTATATATATTTACTTGTATATTACGAAATTATGAAATTGTACAATTTCATAACTTTTATTAGTAGCATTAATATATTAAATATTAATTTTTAATTATAGGACTAATTCTTATTGCAACCGGCCAGGCTAATGTAAGCTGGACCGAATATGATCATACAAGAAAAAAGAAGAACCATACCCATAATATTATCTATAGCAATTCAGAAAAATATTTCGATTTTAAATACAATATAATTCCTAAGCACAAATGTAAGTATAAACATTGAAAATAAAAAACTTAGATGTTTAAACAAACAATCATCGATTGAATTAAGAGATAATTAAATCTATAAATCTCTAAATATATTATTACATTAATTATATATTAATTAATTGCATATTTTATAATTTTTCAGCTAATTTACGGATCAAAATCCCCTTTGGATATCACAAGTATCCATTTAATTTTCAATTACCTCATAATATACCAAGCAGTTTCGAGCATAAATACGGACATGTAAGATATACTATAAAAGCCATAATGGATAGACCATGGAGATTCGATCATCAAACCAAAATAGCATTCACAGTTATTTCAACTTTGGACTTGAACGCACATCGTGAAAAATGCGTAAGATATTGATATTGATATTGTCTCTTACGTATTATATATTACATTACGAATTCAGATGGATTATTCTGTTTTTTGAATAGCTAGGATTGGATGATGAAATAATAAAAAATTTCTTTTTTTGCTGTTGCAATCAAGGATCAATTAATTTACAAATTAAAGTACCATCTTCTGGATACGTTCCAGGCCAGTCAATAATCACAATGATGAATTACGTGAATTCCACAAATAATATACAAATAACGAAGATCAGTACAAAATTGTTACAAGTGAGTGATGATCACGATCGAAATACCAATTTCATAATTTCACTGAAAAATTATTACATCTTCTTTTCTTTAAGAAACTCAAATTTTATGCATCTACGCCGCGCACAAGATTGAACTTTAGTACTGTTGAAATCGTAACTAAGGACACTTCAGAATCGTTTCTGGCTCGTGGACAAACCATATCAGGGATTTTAATCCCACCTATACCACCGTCCTATTTGGAATATTGTAGCATAATAGATTTGAATTACGAATTACTCGTTATTGTACACGTTTCAGGACTGTAAATATTACATAATACCTAATAACATCATTACTATCATATCTAATAACAGATATAATCAATGATTTCATTTATGTTTAAAATTAGGCATTTTAAAATGAAGAAAAATTATCCTCTTTTAATCGGAACGATACCACTCTATTATCCGCCTTCCGCACCATCTCTGAACGATATAAATGCATCCACGACGACATCATTTCCAATGCCGACACCAGGTCAATTTGATAGGTCGCATCTTCCACCGGAAACTCAAACTATTGCTTTCGTTTCTCCAGAACAACCCTTTGCTTCTTCAAGTAATCTGGATATACGTAAGCAATTAATAATAATAAAATTTATATACAAATAAATGAAAATGAAGAAAATTGTTAGAATCTATTACCTTTTTCTCTGTTTAGCACCACCTTCCTATGAAGAATGCATATCTGGAACTCAGGATATCATGGATCAAAATGACTCGCAATATGTATTTGGTACGAATACCCCTTGGGCACCTAGATATCCAGTATTCAATTATCCACAAACAAGTAAAGTTAAAATTTTCTTCTACAATTTTTATCTTTGATCATAAAATAAGATTTTCATTTGTATCTTTCTTCTTCAGATATATATTAATGAACGAAAGATCATAACGAATATAATATCTGCCAAAGTTTTAAACTCAAAAAGAAAACAAGAATCAACAAATATGAAATATAATCCAACATAACATAGTATGTTATTAGTATGTTATTATATCTCAATAAAAATTCGTAAGATATTTTTATATAATTTTATCATCAATTAAATTCATCACAAGGCACGAGGGAAAAGCAACAGTTTTACGAAAATGATATATTTACACAATTTATTTTTATATCTCAACATCGCCATATTGTAATCATAATCATCATCGAGTCATATTATAATTAGCAAAAAAAAACCGATTATTATTTTTAAAAAGATGAACAAGGAGAATAAAGAATTTCGCGACAAAAAGCAGCAGTACAAAAGGAATGAGAGATTCGTCGGTAAACTCCGATAAAACAATAGATCGCAAATCGGTCGTTCTCAAAAAGATCTGAATAAAGAGGATAGTAAAAAACTTACAATAGCTCCTGAGCGCGTCTGCTTGTGTAACTGGTTAAGAATATGGAGGAAAGTTAATCAACAAGTTGCGAACATATTTCAGATCATCACTCATATAACATCTTCTACTCTATAATGTATACAATTCAACTTGACGCTTTAGGAAATACACATGGTATAATTCGCACTGTAATCACCAAATGCCCGATAAACGTGTCATTGTAGGAACTGAACCCAACCATCTTAATGTTAAAGGCTGTCTTAAATACAATGAACAGACACGGTTGTCATGCCTTTCTTTTCTTTTCTTTTCTTTTCTTTTCTTTTCTATTCAAGTATGACTTGCTATCGGATGACTGTGAAAAATTTTCTTTCAGCTTTATTTTATACTATTAAAAATAAACAAGTAAAAAGATTAATATATTATCGAGCATATTTAAAAAAAAATGCACCTGACTGAACAAAGTCAATTCCAATAATATCATTATGGCTGGTATGACGTTCGTTATGGCTGGTCCCATTTCGTACATTTATCATTCATAATTACAACAATCGTTCTTAATAAATTCATTCAATAATAATCGAGACAAAAATTTCACTCGAACGTCATTTGT